CCAAGTACCACGTACTCCACTTGGAAGGAAAGGACTGCTGGCTGCCTACGAGGGCGCAACTCATCATCGGAACGACTCAATGGCCAAAGGCAGTACGCCTCCCAATATACTTGCCCTTCGACATAACTACCACACCGAACATGACGGACCTTAAGAAGGCAGTCATCCAGAAGTTGAAGAGCATAGAGGATACCGACGACGATGATACCAATATGAAAATCATCGACCTATACTACATGAATCATGGTACCCAGGAGCTTCCTGATACACAGCAACTCCTGTACTAGCCAACGATTTACAGTTGGCTCCAAGCACTTGCTCGAGATCATCGGACCCGACGGCGGGAACGACATCGACCACGAATACTACAAGAGCGACGGCATCCTGTCACTCACAATTGGTACCAAGCGGAAGCCAGAGCTCGACCTCGACCTGGAAAGCTACGCCACGAGGCTGCGTTGCGATACCTCACCGTAGTAAAACCTCTACAGCGTTACAGACAAAATTACTCTATGCACATCGCGACATACAAGATACCACGTCTACAGCATGTAATTGCGCGCTGTGGGGATGATGGGCGGGTGCTCCTTCCTCCCCTGTTTCACCTGCGCGGTAGCAGGATGGTATGATGGCCTCTCTTCTCGCGCGTAGCCGATGCATACACTTCCTTGCGCAGGGGCCATGCTTATCCTCTCTGTTTCGTTCCAACCTTAATGGATGATCCCCGACCCAGACATCCAGCTGCTCCAACTGTTTCGAGACGTGGGCCCAGGAGGTCTGGACCACTTTCCCAGGGCCGGCGTTTCGCCCTGAGTCGTTTTTTCGACGGCCCCGAGGCCCAGCGAGGGCCCCCGGAGGCAGAAAAATTGCCCCAAACTCGCCGCTCCCATTTTTTTCGAAGCAGCGGACCTCTGGGGAAGGGAATCCGATGGTGGCCTCTCTCCTTCCCCCGCCCCTCTCCGAAAAATCTGGGCCAGGCCCCCCGGAGGCCTGGGGTCGCGCGGAGGGCGCGGTGCGACAGGAGGAGGATCGAGGAGGACCGTCGAAGGTCCAGAACCCCTCCTCCTCCTCCTCCTCCTTCGCCTCCTCCTCCTCCTCCTCCTCCTCCTGCTCCTCCTCC